GAGCGACCCCGCGGCCTCAACGGGGCCTCCACGGGGCCTCCACGGGGCTCTGTGCGCGGCGTGGAGAGGAGCGAGAGAACCGACGGCGGAGCCGCCCCCGCGGCTGCATCTTGGGTTGTGTATGAGCTGGTGCCGCCCTGCGTGCCCCTTCCCTCACCCTCAGCCGCGGATGGCACCTTCTCCTCGGCGTCGTGGTGGGGTTTTTTGGCTGTATTTCTCTGCTGCTTGCTTCCTCGGTCGCAGAATTTCCAGAAATTGCCTCATTTCTCTGCCTTACCCAGGCCGGGTAGACATTGGCCTCCCCTGTTTTTAACCCGTTCTAGTGTTCACAGTTTCACAGTGTAAGGCAGTTAATTCCTTTCCCCTCTTTTACCTGTGTCCTTTGAATTTTTTTTGCCCATCTCCCCCATCCTGAGAGAGAATCTTTGAAGAATTAAGAGAGTTTTGACCCAAAGGTCCTGTTTCTTCTCAGTTCTGCACTCTGCTCTCTTAATAACAATGGGAGAGGTGAAGTTGAAGCTTTTAAGCCACCAAAGGTTTACCCTTTATCTACAATAGGTTACAAAGAAAAGGTTTTTTTAGCCTTGAATGTTCCTTTTCTGCCCAGGCAGCAGCAGCTGGGATGTCACTGCCTCTTGTTGTGATGTTTGTGTCTAGAAATCCCAGACTTGGGGGTTACAAAAGGAGCAAAAGAAGAGTAAAGAAGGAGATTTTTCTGCTCCTCCAAGCAAATGGATCCCCCTTTGTCCTGCCCAGCACAACGTGGCTGATTTGAGGCCCCCAATTTTTGGGAATGGTTTTGTTGTGCTCTGCCCCTTAACGAGCTTCTGGGGGTTGGTTTTTTTTGTGTGGTGGATGAATTTCCTCCCTGGTGGTTTCCCAGGGGCTGTTATTTTTCTCTTCTTTTGTAGTTGGGAAGACCTCTCTCATCACCAGGTTTATGTATGACAGTTTTGACAATACTTATCAGGTATGTGGGAGGGTTTTGGGTTTGGGTTTTAAGACTCTATTTGTGGGTAAATCTATTCCCTGCTGTTCAAATGTCTGCCTGTGAGGACCAAACACACTCCTCCATGAGGTGTTGTCTCAGTGTCATAGGCAAGGTTGTGACCTGCCTTGAAATAGAGATGAAATTTGACAGTCCAGCCCAAGAATTTTGGGTGAGGTGAGGAAATAAGGCACACAAAACAGCAGCAAGGTTCAGAGCCTGGCTGGGTACAGGGAAAATGAGGGGGGAACGTTGGTGTAGGGGGGTGATGAGCACTCAGTGGTAGTTCAAGGGATAGTGTGAGACTGGGGTGTGTCCTCTTTAAATTGAGGTCAGGAGGAGTTCCAGGTTCAGACTGAGGTCGTTTGAAGTCAGAAAAGGGAGGGGAGATTGTTTTCTTGGGGAGAAGCCCCTCAGAGGAACTGAATCCCCTGGTGCTCTCCATGTTTCTGTCTCGGGGGGGGGGGTGATGCTCAGTGGTAGTTCAAGGGATAAAGAGTGTGAGACTGGGGTGTGTCCTCTTTAAATTGAGGTCAGGAGGAGTTCCAGGTTCAGACTGAGGTCGTTTGAAGTCAGAAAAGGGAGGGGAGATTGTTTTCTTGGGGAGAAGCCCCTCAGAGGAACTGAATCCCCTGGTGCTCTCCATGTTTCTGTCTCTGATTTTGGTGAGGCTCTGTCATAACATTCACCCACATACTGTAGCTGTTACCAACTGTGTCCTGCCTGCAGAAAAGGACTCCCAGAGATGAGAAGTGGCACAGAAAGGGGCTGGTTGTGCTCTCCTGTGAGGCTAAAGGGCTCATTCCCTGAGGGAGCCCTCCCAGGAGGCAGCACACCACCCCTCCAATCTGTTCCATCAGCAACCTGCCTGGGGTTAGGATGGGCTGGGGAAAGCTGCTTGATTTTTGAAGTGCCTGGGGGAGCACATCTGAGGCCATAAATCACTTGAAATGGCTTTGGACTGGAATGGCTGCCCAGGGATGGAAAGGTGAGTGGGAAATGGAGCTGCTGGATGGCACCAGCTCTGCAAGGGAGCACCCCAAATAAACGTTGCTGGTTTAGCTTCCAGCACAGGCCCTCCCCCCCCTCCTTGGTTTGTAGATGTGATGGGCTCAGCCCTGTGGGTGTTTCTGTGAGAGAACACTCAGAGGGGATTGCAGAGCAGAAGGAGATGCTGCTGAGGGGCTGGATGGGATCCAGAGAGGGGTGAGGAAGCTGCTGGGGGCTGTGGGGTGAGGAGCAGCCGTGGGCCCTGGGGGTGTTCAGCCTGGTTCAGGTGTGGTCAGAGTGAAGAGGGGATGTCTGAGGCTCCCACTGAGAGGTGATGGAGGAAGGCTGTGAAACGAGGGTGCTGCAGACATCCAGATGGCTTTATCAGCTGGATCAAAGGCAGATGACTTCAACAGCTGAATTCTAAGTTCAGGAACGTTTCTGAGAGCTGGTTCTGAAGGTTCTGACTCTCTCAGTGAGGGCAGGTTGCAGTTCCTAACCCTCTCCTCCTTTTCAGGCCACCATTGGCATTGATTTCCTGTCCAAAACCATGTACCTGGAGGACCGCACGGTGAGCACCCACA